TTAGTTTCTAAAAATGCTTATGCTAATAAAGCAGCTTTTCCAGAAGTTGCCGCTTTTGCGTAGTATAATTTTCACATCACCTTAGACCCTACTTTTGACTTTTGGCTTTTCCAAATGGGTGGAAACAAGAAAATTTTTTCCATTAGATGTTTTATTATAGTTGTTTCAACCGAATAGCTTATAAACTTTTCACAGTACATAGCTCAAAGCAGATCTTTTACAGCTCACGGCTGATCAAATGAGCCCTTAGTTTAACATCTGTTAGGTGGAACATTGGAATATTGAGGGATAGATTTTTTTTCTTTATGAGCATCCCTGGTGGGTATCTTGTTTTGTCAAAAAGAGAAATCAGATGCTTCATACTCCTGCCCCCCGCCTCCACCGCCATCAAACTAATCATTTTAGTCGTGTCATAACTCTATTTTTCACACTTTGACTAGTATATAGAAAAATACATCAATTTATAACATCATATTAGTTTTACTAAATTCTCAATGAATATACATTTATTTGAATTTGTAGATGTTATTATATAGTTTTTTTTCTAAAGAACTTAGTTAAACTAAAATTTTAAACTCTTATGTAAAGCTAAAAATCTAACTTAGGACAAAAAGTGACATGTGATTTAGAACAGTGCGATTAAACATGGCATAAGCATGCCGCCCTTTTCGATGAGCTAGCGCGGATATTGTTGTTGAACCTTTGTTAAAGGAACAATAGGTCAAATGGATAGCTGAGCCCTACCTTTCTCAGTATTACTTTGGCGAAGAAAAAAGGGACAGAAAAGAAAATGACTTGCTGATATTTTGTTGATTCCATTTTTTGTCACAAATACTGCCTTCAGAGTGGTCGTATTGTTGAATTATATACGGAGTAGTGGGCATGGCCGAAGCAATCATGGCCTCACCCTCATGGATTAGTTCATTCGTTTACAAGAGATGTGCTTCAACTTAACTGGTCTCCGCTTAAAGGAGGAGTTTAGGCCTTTAGTTCAACTCTGGTTCAATTCCCTGTAATTTTGTTTCCTTTCTTTTCTCGCTCTGGTTCTGCTGCTTTCCTAGCTCTGTAAGTTTTTTCTAGACTTACATTATGTTTTTTATAAAATTCTAGTTTTCAAAAAAAGTACATATTTTTAAAATTTATATTCTATAATTTAATAATATTATTCTTTTAGTGGTAAGAGACGTGTTCGTCGATAATGTAACATTTCAAAGGTACTCATAGTAGTACAGTGAGTGTGCGTGTATATACATGAGTATTTGCATATGTATTGTACTCCGTAGTTCTCAACAAAATGCTTCTCTTTGTAGGTTTCTATGTAGAATTACCATATTCTTTACGCCATGAATACTAATTTTAATGGGGAAAATACATGAGAAATATTCTTCAAAATAAAACAGAACGAGAAAAGAACTGGTGCCATACACTTTCGAACTAGGGGGGGTGTTTAGTTGGGCAAAATTTGCGCAGAAAAACTTTGCATAGTGAAGATTATCTACTGTAGCATTTCGTTTGTATTTGTGAATTATTGTCCAAACATTGAATAATTATGCTCAAAAGATTTGTCTCGTAAAGTTAAAGCAAACTGTGCAATTAGTTTTTGATTTCGTCTATATTTAGTACTACATGCATGTACCGCAAGTTTGATGTGACGAATAATCTTCTTTTTGTATAGTGCACTTTTAGGAGTTTAGAGAAACTAAATAAGTGCTAGAACTAGAATAGAATATCACAAACTTTACTTATATGAACCATGACATCTCTTTCGCCTAAAGTCTTGTGCATCTATCCAGCAGGACATGTATTAGGCATGCCTGTCCACGGTTTCAACAAGCAACCAAAGAAAGATGCGATTTGAGCATTTGGCAAGATAATATTCGGATGGCAGCAACCAGAGGCGAGGGTCACCATCATCTGTCACCATCAGATTCCCCCGGGTGATTGCAACTTGCAGCCTTTGAGCCTTGAAGGGTACCCCGTCTCCGGTTCACGCTTCAGCTTCACCCATGGCTTTTCCTCTCGGAGGAATCACGCGGGTCAGCAACGGTTTGGGCGAAAAGGAACGGGATGCCACGAATCGCAACTTGCTAGATTGGATCGCGTGCCGACGATAAAAAAATATCACGCTGTCAGAAAAACCAAACCCCCACAACACACTTCGATCCCAAATCCCTCTAACCAAGTGATCTCTATTTTTTCTTTAATCCTGCCCTGCACCTGTTGGATCGCCAGACTTTTTGGCTGGCATGAGCACGCAACTTCATTTCTCTTCCTTTTTCGACATCCATCCTGATTCCTGATTCCTAAGTTACAGTACTGAACTGGCATCGCAGTTTTGCCTGTGCCTGCCTGCCTGTCTAGCCTGGACGAACCGGGAAGGCGGGAACAAAAAAGTGTAAAAATATATAATGCAGAGATTGCTACAATTACTTGATATCTGCTACTGCGACCAGCTATGCTATGTTTGCAGACTCGTGCGAAGGGTATTAGTAGTAGGGTTTGGATAGATTAGTAGTTGCTAATTTTTAGCGGGGACTGTTTGATCCACCTACTAATAGGTAGTTTGAGTTAAAGATGTATATGAACTATTAGCACCTCCTAATCTGCTAATGGAACTAATACTTACCATCCCTCCAGCTAATAATTGGCAGATTTATTAGCAGGTCTTTTTGATCCACTAGTACTAATTTAACTGCTAATTTTTAGTGCTATTGAATCTAAACAGACCCTTAGTATTAGAATTGACAAAATAGATTTCTAGCAAGTTGACAGATGAGCAAACATGAGAAAAGACCTCGCTATCTCTTATTAAACTTCTTAGCTTTAACTTCACTCACCACTTACCGAGAAGGTGAGCAATAAGTTTTGTTGTTTCTAATAATAGGTATGTTGACCATTGAAAACTCCGAGAAAATAAATGGGTCTACTCAATGACAAGGGTCTAGAAATTGATTTATTTTAGAGCAAATTTTTATTCTAGAAATCTATTTTTTTCAGGGACAGAGAGAGTATTACGATAAATATTTATTACTAGTATGCATTCTAAAGCACTCATGCCTCGTGCCAGTGATAAAAGGCCACCAGTAATAAAAAGCTTGACATATGGCTAGCTAGCTCTACCACGAAGTGTGTGACAAACCATTGTGTTGTTCAGCTGATGGTTTGTGTGGCTGATAAACCAGCTGATACTGTTTTGTTGTGAGAAAAAATACTATACCATGGCTGATAAGCAGTTCAAGCGAACATGGCACATACTTACTAGCAAATCACATACGTTGCGACAAAATCCAATATATATAGGAATCGGACTCCGTATCATCGCTAAACACGAGTTGTCCTAACTTTTAGAATCGGACTTTTATCCATCATCGATAGACGCGAATTATTCTTACTCGCATATGGGTACGAGTCATAAGTTCGAGTCAAGTAAAAAAATGGGATGGGCGAAACTTTCCATTGTTTGGTTAGTTAAGAGGAGGTGGAAAAAAAAATTCAAGTATAATCAATTTCAAAGTAGAGTCGCTTTCTATTGGAGTCACTTCACTCTAGCAACCAATTATTAGGTAGTGTTTGATTTAGAGTCAGGGATATCTTAAGTACGATACCTACCTCAGAATGGTGTTTGGTTATGAGATAGCCAGCGACAAAGATGTCCCACTAGCGAATATAGCCCTTAGGCTGCGGGTGGGTTCTTGTAGCCATGTTGCGAGGCACGAAGAGGAAACATAGGAGGAGGAAGAAAGAATTTTTTTTTTAAAAAAAAGAATGACAAGTGGGCCTAACTTGTCAAGTGGCTGATCATATTTTTGATATCCACGAACTAAAAAGAAACGAGTAGGTCTCATCCCTGCTCGGTCAAATAGAAAACAGAGCTATCACATCCCAGAAAACAAACAGATGTAAACCAAATGCTACCTGGAAGCCTAGGGACCTAAGGGATCCTACTCCCCCCCAACCAAATGCTGCCTAGAAGCCTGGGGATGTAAGGGGAAAAAACAAAAAGGAGCCCATAGGGGCATGCACCCCAACCCCTGAGAGGCTTGAACTTGATAATTATGGAGCATGACTGCATGAGGCCAATCTCGCCGGAGTTGGAAGATTTGAGTGAAGAAACAATTTCAGTCTGACAACGTAAGGCATTTGTATATAAAAAAAAAGGCATATTTGAGTCTGATAACGTAAGGCACTGGAATGTGATCTTTTTACTAAGCTTTCAACAAAATTACCCTACCCTCCACAAAAATACAGCAAAATTTATAGAATTTGCCATACAGAAAATTTGAAACTAGTTGGAGTACATGCCAACATTACATTCAATTATAAAGCATAATGACGCACCACTATAAAAAAGAAAAGGACCTGCCACATGGCCAGCCTTACATGAACCGACAAGAGTACAATGCTTCAGTGTATCTTGAGCCTAGCCATGCTTTGTTTCAGCGAATTCCGTTCTTGCAAATGCTTCAGTGTACAAAGGTCATTCAGAAGAAAGAAACAAGAATACAATTATACCGGTGCTGCCTTATTTTAACAGTCCAACGAATAGAACGGTAACTAAGATGAATAGCTACAATACTGGGTAATATCTATCTTTCTGAAATTCTAGTCCCAAAACAACATTAGAGCCCTGTCTAGGTGGCATTACATGCTAAGGATTTTCAATCATACTACAGCCATTGCAATGCAGGTCCTCCAAGTCCAATGCAGAATTTTACCTTCGATAAGTCCTTTCCACCGACTCCCAATACAATTGCCACGATTGAATATTTGGATCAAAACTTTCCATGTTTAGAATTATAATTTACACATGTACTAAAGAATCAACAGGCCGCAGTCCGTTAGCACAGCAATGGGTGATCTTGTGGACATCAGCAGCTTCTGGCCCCAACGGGTGGAACTGACGACAATGTCCTGCACCATCATTCTGGTTGCAGTTGAAGGGCCCTGGGCCTTCACCGAGAGCAAGCCAAAAAAAAAACAAATTTTCTGTAGGACATTCTCTACGCATAATACATATACAAGCTATTTGCAGCAGCACATGCAATGGAATTCTCGGTCGGGTGCCATGCGAGGTGGAGCAGCTTTGTTGAGAAGTCAAATGAATTCCCATTAGCATCAACGCCTTGATTTTCTCCACCTGTAATTACATTAGGTCGGTGATGGCTGCGTGAACAAAATACGATACTGTTGCAGGAGTACTTAAGTCAATGTTGATGAGAACAAGTCACCTCTCCGAACACCACGGGTAAAAGAAGTTAGTGTCCGTGTGGGCCTTGCTGGATTTGCAATCTGACGCCTAATCGCACCCAAATCCAACAAGAATAAGCTTAGTATTATAATTGCATAAAGAGCAGTTATGGAACTTAATATGGCAATTAAAATGTGGAAAAAAGATAGCAACAGTAAAATTGTACTCTACAAACTTTTGAATTTTGAACATCTAACTAGATTCAATATAATGGAGCAGTGGACACCTATGTTTATAGAAGAGATCAATGGTGCAGATAATACTGCTAAAAGAGACTTTATGCAACAGCTTTAAGACAGAAAAGAATCATAGCTCCCATTTGGTGTTTTCTTTCATAAACCACTCACCCAACAGTGACACTCTGTTCCCAAATAGGATGGCTAGGGTTCCATCCCCTATAACCAGGGTCACATGCATTCAATATTATGAACTAATAAACATTAAAGATCTTACACAGTTGATTAAATAAATGGAATTGTGTCCCTGTCCCCAGTAATGGATAGGTAGACCAAACCAAGGCCATGGCCACAAACAGTGAAGAAAATATGACTAAGATGAAAAGGCACATGTAAAATATACCTCATTGGATTCCTACTTGCTTCCAAAGTTGTTGCCTCCATGCTTCCAGGAGTACAACCAAAAACACGAAATATATTACTGCAGTTGAAGACACCAGGAAATGGAAGTGTTAATAGACAGGATTTCTGTAAAATGACACATGCAGTCAATAATGGATGAAAGAAATACCCATAAGAACCAGTTGCAACACGAAGTCCATCCCCACTAAGACAACACTCAAACTTGTCGAAAATTGAGTCATTCTCATACAGATCGCAGAGCTGAAAGTAGTGATAGCATAAAATTACATTAATTTTGTTCATCAAATGGCTTCTTTTCTTAATCATTCAGTTGAGAGAATTTCACCTTAGGTCTCAAATGTTCATGGACTTGGAAGGTTGAAACAGGGCCTGAATTCATGTTTAGATCCCATAGCTGAGTATGGAGCAAAAACATGATAAGTAATCTCATAGGCTCTTTCTGCTAGTTACTCCCTCCATTCCAAATTGTAAGACATTTTGGCTTTTCTAGATACATAGTTTTTTGATATGCATTTAGATATACACTCTGTCCAGATACATAGTAAAGGTAATATATCTAGAAAAGCCAAACGTCTTATGTTACGGAGGGAGTACTAAGCATAGCTCAAACAATAGAACAGTTCCTAATCATGCATATTGGTGTCAACAGACAAGTTTCCATTGGACCACTTCTAGGGCAGTATGCTTGACAGTACATTTTTATACAGGCACTCAGTGCTACAAAGAAGAGGTAAACCAGCTGTTTATTTCCTCAAACAATAAGACACCAATTAGCTTTTGACTTTGAGAAGTTGTAAATCATTGAAAATGTTACTCCATTTTTTTACATGACTTATTAAGTTTGTCCTAAGTCAAACATTTCTATGTTTGACCATCAATTTTTTTTTAAAAAAAAATCTATGTAGTTTCACAACATGTGAATTATATATTATGAAAGTATTTCGCATAGTGAATCTAAAAAAATAAATTTTATGTCCTTAACCTATATAAATTTTTTGAAATTGATAGTCAAAGATAGAAATGTTTGACTTAGGACAAGCTAATATGACATGAAAAAAAGAACGGAGGGAGTATCTACTAAGAGTGAAAAAATTCATTAAGTATTCTGGACCTGAAAAAATGGGTGTATGACAGCCAAAAGCAATGAGATAGAACATGAGAAGTATTCTGGACCTGAAAAAATGGGTGTACGACAGCCAAAAGCAATGAGATAGAACATGAGAAGCTACTACACACCTTGAGAGTCATATAATCACGGCTAAGAATATATCTACCGTTCCTTGAAAACTTTATATCAGAAATTGATGCAATAATTTCAGTAAAGAAGGATCTTGATCCAGGTGCTTCGTGTTCCTCAAATCTGTTTAGAGGCCGTTTGTTAACTCATAAAACATATAATAACTTATGCAATATAAATAACTGTACATATTCCCAATCCTTCATACAAGTCCCCAACGTTGCCAGTACAGAAGGATAAAATGTTAGGGAGAGAAGTACAGGGTGAGTAACTAACATTTTGGAATGGTTGTCACACAGTGCTGATTGACGTAGATCAATAAGGCGGATAGAACCCTTTGAACTACTATAGGCCAGTGTATTACAATGGGATGGATGGAACTCCGCACATGTAATCACCTCTGAAATATGAATGTGAACAAATCAGGAAGTGCATATGCAAAGCAAGAATAGCAATAAGACTTGTAGTAATTATATGAAAATGAGCCTACCAGATTTCTAATAACCCTCAAAATGGCAAAGGGATAATACAATGCTTATATCAATAAATAGATAAAATATCATGTGCCAGATGCCCAGATTGGATGGTTTTTCATCCCAATTGGGTAGCTACTTTATGAAAGCTACAATCCCTTAATTTACAACCTATCTCCCAAATGAAGAATGTCATCTATATCAATATTTGAATATGGTCCAAATTTATCCACAAATTACATCTGTAGTGCTGTGCTTCTATGATTTAATTAGCAAAATGCCATCAAAATCAGATTCCAAATGAAAAAATTCACAAAATTCAAATAGAACATAAATTCCCGTTACTTAGTATCTCTAGCACAATACGGTAGCCCACAAGTTACATCAACATCAAGTTACAACATTTTTCCAATCCCATGTGCTTTGTATTTATAGATTGCCACTTATTACTAGGATTGAATGTGTCATGTGCCAATGCCAAGTTAAGATAACAGAATAGAACAAGGAGTTTCTGTTCTATGCATCCCACTTGTTTAAGAAAATACCAAAAAGAGGGGGATGGGGTTCATTGCATTAATTAGTCAATGCAAACTAGAACTGGAACTCTATTTGTAACTTCCTTTTTGGTAGGTGATCTTACCATTATTTCTAATAATACACTAGAGCAGAACAGATCGCACCATACAGAAACCAATACAAGAAAAGGCTGTGCAAAAACAATGTGCCAAAACAATATGGCACAGACAATTTTCTTTTGTTGATATCCACTGCCGATATCATGCAAATTTGTTTCTGAAGATACCATGCTACAACTTAAAGATAGCGAAACCATGATAATATTCTTGTCAAAATTCATAAATGATTATGTAGCCAATTGACAATATGATATTCTACAGTCTACAGATGCCCCATCAATAGGAAGCATATGAGAATGAAGGCCTAATCAAGAAAAGACTATCCGGATGTTTCTGTTCATATCTTAAATTAATAGAAATAGAAATTTGCATAAATAAGTAGATGCATCCATGTGCTTCCATGTCCGCAAGCCAAGTGCGCAAAGCTATAACACAACAAAGCACCACTTGCTTCAAGTTTTGGAAAGATCACAAGTTCCCAACAGTGGGGGTCAGGGCTAAATGATGGGAAACTACAGAATGGTGATGAACCAAAGCTAGCAACCAAAAGCCTTCCTAGCTTGGAAAAGCTAGCAACCAAAACAATGAAACAACTATCGGGGAGCCATATTAAATCCTATTCTTATTCAAATCCCCTAGAGAAGCAAACGTTATTTACTTATTATCCGAGAAGAACAACAAAGTCACAATTGTTAAAATTCTTTTCAGCCGTTAACAAGAAAGACATGTTGTATAGCCAGCACATTTTGGTATGTCAACATGTCACACCAGGAAAATTGCTTTTTTTTGCTAAATGGAAAGGTAAAACCTCCTCAGGTAAATTTGCAACATTTAGGGGGGAGTAAACAAAATATGAATGTGGAATTACCTGTTAGATCTTCCATGTTTGTAGGCTTCACATCAACAATGTTAAAGCTCTGGCTGTTTATTTCCATGTTCCATAAATTTATTCGGAGATCATCTGCTGATATGAATGTCTCACCATCACTGTGGATTAACAAACAATACAAGAATATGTATCAATACAATGCCCACAGATATTATCGTTGATGAAGTATTTGGAATCTGCACCCTGCAGGAATATGACCACCAGAAAACTATGCTGGTTCTACATAGCAAACAAAACTGATCAAGAGTAGACATGTGACTGTGTGAGCAATGCCCTATTATAAAAGGCATACAAGCTACTCTTGCATGATACTTGTGTTTCATTATAACACAGCATAGATTCAAAAGACATACAAGCTACTCTTGCATGATACTTGTGCTTCATTATAACACAGCATAGATTCAGTTTGCCCTATCTGTTCAGTACATAGGCGAATGTGCCTCTAGCTGAGTTGGTTACGTGGGCACGTGGCTCTAGTAGCACTCCTCGCTTCCTCAGGTCCTGGGTTCGACTCCCTATGGGAGCGAATTTCAGGCTCGAGTTAAAAAGATGCCCTCATTTGTCCCACACTAAGGCACAGGTCTAAGGTCCGGACCAGGTCATGGTCGTTCTCACATGGGCTACACTGCCGCTGTGTATGGGTGGGACAGGGATTCAGAGGTTTTCTCGACCTGAGTGAGGTCTTATTCTTAGCAAAATGACTGGGGGCTGTCTTACCCCACGCAGGTCGAGTTCAGTACATAAAAGGTGAAAAGAATGCAAGTACCAACAAATAGCTAAAGATTTGAAGCACTAGCAACGCTAGGGTTTCAACCAATGAAGAATGCAAGTACCTGCAAAGACCTAAAAAATTGACGTACTAGCAAGACAAGTATTGAAACTGATTATTAAGTTTCAGTTAATGAAATATACTAGGCTACTAGCAAGAAAACTAATTCAAGGAAGAACAACCTGCAAGGCTTAGCTAATAAGATGGACCATGGTTTTTAAGGCGGCACGGCGAGGCGTGACGACCTATCCCCCTCACAATGCCTAGGGGACGCCTAGGCATTCATAAGGCGAGGTGAGGCGACGCCTTACCATTCTAAGAAATAGGAAAATAGCAGCAGGGAATAGGCGAGAAAAAGAGGAAAAAGGAAAGAGAAAAAACAGAAAAGGGCAAATGAAAAGAAGTGCTTGGCCCAGCCCACTTGTACATATCCCTTCTCAGGTCATCTCACGGAGACATGGATGCACACACGCCGCCTAGGGGCTCTTTGTTTCTCCTTCCACGCACGCGCAGCGCCGCTACATCTCCTCCCTCACAGCTCAGGCAGCTGCCCTCCCTCCCTCGTGCTGCTCTTGGCTGCACGCGCTCAGCCTGCCCTCCGCTCCTTCCCTACCTCTTGCTGCTGCTCCCTCAGATGCCCATCTTGAGCAGCAGCCGCCTCCGCCACAGATGACCCAGGCGGCGCCAGATTTGGTGGGGGTGAGCGAGGTGGCAGCCTATCGTTTTCCTCTGTTTTACCTCCAGTCGCCATGGATATCTTATTACTTTTGGCTAGGCGTCAGGGACGCCTTACTCCCTGCGAGCGCCTCGTCGCCTAGGCGACGCCTTAAAAACACTGAGACGGACACTAAATACTAACTCTTCAACAATATATGCTTTATTTGTTTAGCCTATTTTCTGCTCGAGAGCAAGGAAAACCAAACATAAGGAACACTGGAAGAGATGCATATGAACCCATGGAAAAGAAAAGGCACAAAAGGGATCCCATTGAAAAGATAAAATTCAATGTCTGAAATGACTGACCTATTATTTGAAATAGAATTTACATGGTAATCGTGTGCGTGAGCAAATACACGTCGACATCTAGCAACAGGGTTTGCTTCTAGACTGGTAACCTGCATATAGTTGAAAGCGAAGTGAGTTGGACTAAATAGCTGCAGTTTTGCATACATTCCACTTAAAAGTTATGAGCGTGCCCAATGCTGAGAGCTCCCGCTCTGTGCGGGGTCTGGGGAAGGGTGTCAGTGGCAAGCTTTACCCTTGCATGTGCAATGCGAGGAGACTTGTAAGATATAATCTGCTGATAATGTATAAGATGTCGAGTGTAACTTGTAAGATATAATCTGCTGCTGATCTCTCGCTCTCTCTTGCTGCAGCAGAGTTGACATTTGGTCAGCTCGGCTGTCCAATCTCTACTGCTGTAGCAGTATGGCAATAGGCCACCTCTAATACATTAGTTGATAGCTATTACATCAGTCATGTCTTGGTAGTGGGCTGATCTAAGCTTTGTACTGCTAGTACTAGGAGTGGTTGGTATACCTTAGAAGTAGGTAGTTGGTGTACTCACCAACAACTATGTACCTGGTAGAGGTACTAGCACTTGTATATATATCACACCTAAGGCAATGCAAAAAGCGATTCGGTTTGCCACATCCGAAGCGAGAGCTTTCGGCCAAAGACCTGGGCTTGTCTTGTGTGTGTGTGTGAGTTGTTCTCAATATCTTCTTCTACCTCTAACCATAGTGAGTGAGTGTCTTTGGTAAGCTTATCGCTTACTGTGCGGAGGCGTACCGAGGGACCAACAAGTGGTATCGAGCCGCGTACAAGCGCCGTTGCGAAACTAACCATTGGCGATGACAGACGGTTCGGAGATGGGCGGCAAGCAGCGTGGCGTCTTTGTGGCTACCCAAACCACGACGGGGAGGTCGTCGTGCGCGACGGTGCGGGGGGGGGGCGGCACCGGTTATTAACACATCGACTTCGCACCAACTATGGCGAGTAGACGGTGACCATGAAGGTCAAGCTCAGAGTCGGACGGATCTGGAATGCCATTGACAAGGGCACCGACAACGAAGAAGACGACATGTCAGCGTTAGAGGCTATCCTCTCTTCTTTGTGCGGAGTCTGTGGAGGCTGTTGAGGCGAACAACTCGCTAAGGAGGCGTGGGAGGCCATTGCGACGATCTGGCGTTGGCTCAAGACCGCACAAGAAGAAGGCAACCTTGACCAAACCGGGCGAAAGGTGAGTACGCCAACCTCAAGTTTAAGGATGGTGAGTCAATGGAGGACTTCTCCCTCCGCCTGCAGTCGCTCATCAGCAAGCTGAGCCACGGCGTCACCATCGACGAAGAAGAGGCGGTCTCCAAGTACCTCCACTCCGTGCCAGTGAAATACATCCAGATCGCTCTCTCCATAGAGACGATGCTGGACTTGTCCACCCTCACCATTGAGGATGTGACAGCCGTCTCATGGGCAAAGGGACGAGCGCATGGAGCGAGCTAAGCGGCAAGTTTCTGGCGAGCAGAGGGGGTTTGTCCGGATGAAGGAGAAGAAATCCGAGGAAGCCTCCTCCAGCCGCGATGGTGATGGCAAGTGCTGCGGCAAGGCTTCTTCGGAGAAGAAGAAGAAGAAGGTCGACCCCAATGCCTGCCGGCGTTGCGAGAAGACGGGCCATTGGGCAAAGGAGTGCCCAAATCGCAAGCAGGAGAAGAAGGCTGAGGCTCATTTAGCGCAGGCTGATGAGGATGATGAGGCCACTCTCTTGATGGCGACGCTCGTGTAATCGCATGCGACGTTGAGGCCAAGGAGAAGGGAGGTGATGGCGGTGGAAGGGCACGGCAAGGCTCAAGGTCATCAACCTCGACGAACCGCGGCGCCCAAGTCCACCCCTGGACGTGTGGGCTGCAAGCAGAGCAACGGTGGTACGGACTCGGCGCCCGGCAACCACATGACGGGCTCTAAGGAAGCCTTCTCTCGAGCTCGGCAAGCAACGTGACCGCACGACGGTGAAGTTGATGGCGGCTCAAGGGTGGTGATCCGAGGGGCGGCACCATCATCTTCAGTGCGCCGGAGCGAGCAGCTGCGCTACCGACGGATGTATATTACATCCCGCAGCTGCGTTCAAGCATCATCAGCATTGGTCAGCTGGATGAGCGCGACAACGAGGTACTGATTAAGGACGGCGTCCTCAAGATCAGGGACCGGGAGCAGCAGCTTCTTGGCAAGGTGAAGAGGTCCCGGAACCGTTGTACACGCCGACTTGAAGGTGGAGCAGCCCATCTACTTGGCCGCAAGGCACACGAGGAGTCGTGGGGCGTGGCATGCCGGTATGGCCATCTCAAACCGACGCTCTTGGTCGGTTGGAGAAGATGGTGGTGACTGGCTGCGCTCCTCATATTGAGCACGCAGCGTAGCCGTGTGTGACATGTGTCTGGTCGGGAAGCAAAGAAGGTTGCCGCCTTCGAAGACGACGGCAGTACGCAGTGGTAGAGGCCCCCGAATTTGGTCCATGGTGACCTCTACGGGCCGATCAAAGCCGCGACGCGACAATGGCGCAAATACTTCATCTATTTGGTGGATGATCGTGGCGGTTCATGTGGTTGCGCTTCGACCAAGAAGACCAAGGCGTGAGCGGTAAAGAAGTTCAAGGCGCGCACGGAGGCGAAGAGCGGCAAGAAGCTGCGCGTGATGCGGACTGATCGTGGTGGCGAATTCACTTCGGTGTTCGCTGCGTACTGCGCAGATCAAGGTGTGGTGCGACACCACACCGCGTCGTACTCGCCACAGCAGAATGGCGTGGTGGAGCAACGGAACCAGATGATGGTCGGCATAGCTCGATCCATGATGAAGGCCAAAAGCATGTCGGCAAAGTTCTGGGGAGAGGCGGTGACCACGGCGATGTTCATCCTCAACTGCGCGCCCACCAAGGCCCTGAAGGGCAAGACGCCGTTCGACGCTTGGCATGGACGCAAGCGGAATGTGTCCTTCCTCAGGACATTTGGCTGCGTCGGCCATGTGAAGAACACCAAGCCTCACCTCGGCAAGCTGGAAGATAGAAGCACGTCGATGGTGCTCCTGGGCTACGAGGAGGGCACCAAGACGTATCGGCTCTATGATCCCAAGAGAGGCAAGGTGGTGATCTCTAGGGATGTGGTGTTCGATGAGATGGCGGCTTGGGACTGGGAGGGTCCGGGCATGGGGGAAGCTGGCAGCTTGAGCAGCACCTTCGTCGTCGAACACTTAGTCATCCACGGTGGTGGAGACGCTTGAGAAGACGTGCCGACCACCCCAGGAGTGGTGCCGAGCGGTCCAGCAGCAATGCCAACCACTCCAGAGGGGGTGCCGAGCACTTCAAAGAAGAAGAAGCGTCTGAAAGCGCCAAAGAATGGAGCCGACCACCCCGAGAGTGGTGCCGACCGCTCCAAATAGATTGATCCGACCACTCAAGAAGATGGTGCCGAGCGGTCCAAAGCAATGATGCCGCCGACCACTCCGGCGAACAGGGGAGACCATGGACCACCGATCGAGTTCACCTCTCCACCCACCGACATTGACGAGTACGTGGACGCTTTCCACGACGGCGAGGAGGTCCGGTTCAGGCGGGTGGACAACATTGTCGGCGAAGGGGGAGCTCCTAGGTTGGCCAGTCGTTTTCTCGACGACCCAGAGCTGCTCCTTGTTAGTGCAGAGGAGCCACCGACGTTTGCAGTGGCTGAACACGACGACAATTGGCGCCGGGCGATGTTGGAAGAGATGAAGGCCATCGAGGACAATGGGACATGGGAGCTGGTGGATCCACCGGTGGGCTGCAGGCCGATCGGGTTGAAGTGGGTCTACAAGGTGAAACGAGACGAGCGCAGCGTCATTGTCAAGTACAAGGCTCGGCTTGTCGCCCGCGGCTTCGTGCAGCGTGAGGGCATCGACTTCGAGGAAGTCTTTGCTCCGGTGGCGTGAATGGAGTCCGTTCGCTTGCTGTTGGCCATGGCAGCAGCGAAGGATTGGCGCGTCCACCACCTCAACGTCAAGTCTGCATTCCTCAACAGCGAGCTCGCGGAGACGATCTTCGTCAAGCAAGCTCCGGGCTTCGCCGTCAAGGGCACTGAGCACAAGGTGCTCAAGCTACGCAAGGCGCTCTACGGGCTGCGGCAGGCCCCTCGGGAGTGGAACGCCACCTTGGGCGAGCTTGGGTTCACTCGTTGCACCACAGAGCACGCGCTGTACACGCGGCGACGGGGGGAGAAGGAGCTCGTCGTCGGCGTGTATGTGGACGACTTGATCGTCACTAGAGCGCGGGCGGAGGACATCGACAGCTTCAAGCGCGAGATGGCTGCTCGTTTCAAAATGAGCGATCTCGGCGCGCACTCCTACTACCACGGCATTGAGGTGAGGCAGGGGAAGGAGCACATCTCCCTGGGCCAGCGCACCTATGCGGAGAAGCTGCTGGAGCGCAGCGGCATGGCGGAGTGCAAGCCGTGTGCAACTCCAATGGAGCGGCTAAAGCTGTCCAAGCACAGCATGGTGGAGAAGGTGGACGCGACGCGCTACCGGAGCATCGTTAGCAGGCTGCGCTACCTCACGCATACTCGGCCGAACATCACGTTCGCGGTCGGGTATGTCAGTCGCTTCATAGAGGACCCACGCGAGGATCACTGGACGGCGGTGAAGAGGCTGCTGCGCTACGTCAAGGGGACGCTCGATCAAGCGATCATCTTCTCCAAGAGTGGCGGCAAGGGTGGGCTGCTGCTCAATGTCTTCAGTGAAGCACCCCCAAGGCAAAGGAAGGTAAGCCGGAGCTCACTGTTTTCAGCGACGCAGACATGGCGGGCGATATCGATGGGCCACGGAGCACCTCCGGCGTGCTCGTCTTCCTTGGAGCGGCTCCCATTGCTTGGCAATCGCTGAAGCAAAAGATCATGGTCTTTGTCGGCGTGCGGTGAGTCGTCGCCGCATCAGCCCACGGTGGCGATGTAAGGTCGTGGTGGTCATTTGCTGGCCGCTAAGCGAGCCGACCGGGCGAGGACGCCACCCGCCACTCGATGGTGGACAACCAGACCCGCCATCGCCCTCGCTAAGAACCCCATCCTCCACGGCCCGAGCAAGCACATTGACATCAAGTTCCACTTCCTCCGGATCGCATCGATGGAGGCGATCGTCATGAAGTTCGTCGAGACCGCAGAAAGCTCACGACATCCTCACCAAGTCACTTTTCGAGCGCCCTACGGTTCATGGAGCCGAGGAAGATGATTGGCATGGATGAGGTCAAGGCATCGGGTTAGCAGCAAAATTAGGGGAAGAATTGTAAGACATAATCTGCTGCTGATCTCTCGCTCTCTCTTGTCAGAAAGTGAGTTGGCATTTGGTTAGGCTCGGCCTGTCCGATCTCTCATCTTGTAGTAGTAGATAGCAATAGGCCACCTCTAGTACATTAGTTGGTAGCTATTACATCGCCCATGTCTTGGTAGTGGGCTGATCTAAGCTTTGTCTTTGCTAGTACTAGGAGTAGTTGGTGTACCTTAGGAGTAGATAGTTGGTGTACTCACCAACAACTATGTACTGGTAGAGGTACTAGCACTTGTATATATCACACCTAAGGCAATGCAAAAAGCGATTCGGTTTGCCACATCCGTAAGCAGAGCTTTTCGGCCGGTGTTATTTGGGCTTGTCTTTGTGTGTGTATGAGTTGTTCTCAATATCTTCTTCTACCTCTAGCCATAGTGAGTGAGTGTGCTGGTAAGCTTACTGCTTACCTGTAGGGCAGCCGAGGGACCAACATAACTTACCACTGGCAAACGCAGTGATGGGTAGCCTCCAGGTGGAAATGAGAGATCGTTATTCAGGCAATCAAACTTATCAGAGCATCCGCCATTTGGAAGAGGTGCCTTAGAACTACTGGTACTTGCAATAGCAGTGGTACTACTTCCTACACTTTGGGAACTGTCCAAATTCATGACTGCAATTCGTTTTACTTTCTTCTCTTGAACCTGGACAGTAATTAAAGCTATGAGTAAGCAAAGCAAAAAACAGACTGCAATTGATAGAAGAAACAATTAAAAAAATGCAATGCAGTGGTGCCACATACAATAAAAATAAAAATAACAGATTGTACACTTTTTGTGTCCAAAAAATTCAAAAGGTAGTAATAAATGATATGATTGGTATCGCAATCAAATTTATGTATTTAACAAGCCAATTTTGGCATAGGTTTCAATAATTATTTTTCAGAAATGCCAAGACTTAGTTCAACACAAACCTCTACGGTGCTACCAACAATGAGAAAAATAGGGATGCTAATACTCAACAACTTACATGCAGTTACATTACATCCGGGCTAGATTTACACTGAAGATTTAAGTATGGAATTCGGATTAAAAAAAATTGAAGCGGTTAGGAAAATTGAAAAGCACTATATTTAACAAGCCAATTTTGGCATAGGTTTCAATAATTATTTTTCAGAAATGCCAAGACTTAGTTCAACACAAACCTCTACGGTGCTACCAACAATGAGAAAAATAGGGATGCTAATACTCAACAACTTACATGCAGTTACATTACATCCGGGCTAGATTTACACTGAAGATTTAAGTATGGAATTCGGAGTAAAAAAATTTGAAGCGGTTAGGAAAATTGAAAAGCACTTCTAGAAGTAACTTGCATCCATACCTTCCAGTATTTTATTGTTTTATCATTTGTAGACAAAAGGGAGAGAGCATTGTTGGCTGTCTGGCACCACTTGATCTTGTTGATCTTTTCCTCTATTTCCAAACTTTTCAGGTAGTCAAACTACAAGAATCACATAAAAAATAAGAACCCTGACATAACTTCAATCTACGATTAATTTTCAAAAGGAAACAAGAATAGCACATGGTACTGACATACAGCAATGCTTTATTTTTATGATCAGAAGTGCATACTGCAATTATGAAACATAAACATAGTACCAAGGCCTATGCAAAATAAAAGTTATTTTTTCCTTGGAGTTGTTATTTCCATCACCCAACTTCTCAGCTTTCTTGTGTCAATATAACTATATGGCAAAAGAGAGACTTCTAAAGAAAATGAAAGAAAAACTGCCCATTAACATGCCTCAGGTTCATGACTCTGAAATTCCGTTTTGTAGCGGAACTCTGGGTGTCTAGTAACTGGAACATCTTGTCCCTCCAGTTCTCTCCGGCTGGCATTCTGCTGGTATAACAACTTATTAGGGGAAAATATTGAAATCAAAACCAAGATAAGTTCAAACATGCGGTGCTTACATCCCGAGCATCTGTCCTTTCAAATAAAACCACACGTCCTCCTTTATCCCCAGTGGCAAGACGATCACCAGATTTATCAAATTCAATTGCAGAGATGATGTCAACTGAAAATAAAGAAGAGTGTTAAATCAACATGCAAGGCAACATTCTTCACTCACACGAAAGTGAAATTCCTCGCTTATCAAATATCAAAGAGCAGAGCAGGTCTGGAAGGAAACTAGGTTTAGATGACAATATCAGTGTATGGTATATAGTAGACATCCTTCAAGTCCTGAATAAAAAAAGGTTATTTATTGAATGATCAATAAGCCCAATTCATGACGTAAATCCCCAGGATACAACAAAATCTCAATGTCATATATAGTATTCTGTTCAACTCTAAATAAAACAACGAAGGAATATAAAACAAAAGGCAAAGACATCCACTGCTGTCATCATAACCTCTATTCCCAGCAGACTATTCTGAAGAGAAAGTTTCCATACTAAGAAGCATCAGTCAGCAGTTCCACACATTGAAAGCTATTATTTTCTCTAAAAGAGATTACCAAACGAACACAACTGGACCAATGTGGCACACGGTGATATAAGGAATTTCACAGATGGACCACATTTCGTGTGTCCATCCAGATAAACATACGTCCAAAACAATTAAAAGAGAATAAGTACCATGTGCCAATGGAAAATCATCCTTGCAGAACTTTAGACTGCAAATTTCCTACAAGGCGACAAGCCAAAAGCAGATGCTGAACCACAACCAGATAAGAAACACAACATTACTTCTTATAGACACCAATAAACTCTTCCAGTTTTTCAATTCACGAGATCAACCAACCTCTTAAGTTTCAGTTCAAGTTTGCACTATGATATCACATGCCAAAGAAATTCCTTAAGCAAAACATGTCCCACAAAATTGAAGCCAGATGAGTTCACAAGCTCCAGAGCTTCTTACCACCTTTCTGCATTCTTTAAAACACAAAGCCAAGACAACTATCTGTGACCACATTACTCAAACCCCAGTCGGCCTAGTACCTGCGCGATTAAGCCACCCGAAGGCTAAAAAGGATTTCATTTGCAGCCAAACAAACTCTCAAAGGGCAGAAAATTGAGCTTCACGCTTCTCACAAGGCGCACTCTGCCAGTAGAGCATCAAACTAACCATCCGAATGACCGAATCCATTCTACACGCACCGTGGTAGTCCTACATACACCAACACAATCCAAAGCCATGCCTTCTCTGACAGGTAATATTAAGGGGGTCGCGCCATCATTGCCGCGCATTTCCTACAAGACCAAATCTCTCAAACCCGCACAACTCCAATCCCAACACTAGCCCTATTGATTCCCACCACTTCAGGGCATCCAATCGGGGCAGCCAAGCCCAGAGCCTCCACAAATCAAGCGGATCTCGAGCTCATGCGCACGTGTGTACCTTCCTGGACGTCCTCGCCCGCGGCACGCTCGCCGAAGACCTGGGCGAACCGCCACTCCGGCGGCTGCGGCTGCGTCGCCTCGCCTTCGTCGCCGGGGCCTGGGGGATCCATGGCGGCCGTCCGTCACGCGATCGCGCCGCGCGGGCACCGCATCAGGGGCGCCCCGGATCGGGGAGGGGGGCGAAGGCTCCCGGGGAGGAGAAGGTTCTGGAATACTGGGCGTTGGGCGTTGATTGGAGGTGGGGGCAGGCGGCGGCGGAGACGAGGAAGAATGGGAGATCGAGCGGAGGGAGAGAGGGGTGGGGTGGGATGCGACGAGACAGGCGAAGTGATGTGGGGGAGGGGGAGGCCGAGGTCTCCCTCCTCTGTCTCTGCGTCTCTCTCTCTGCGTCTCTCTCTCTCTCTACCCTGCTGTGTTTGTGCGAGCTCGCACATATTTCTCCCTCGTGAAGTGACGTGGTGGGGCTTTTACATGTGGACCCTTGCGAAAGAACAAAATATTTTTCTTACACAGGGAATGTGAAAGAATTCGACTATTATTACATATATATATATATATATATATATATATACAGGGAGTATGTAATAGAATCATGCTAATTGCTAACTCTAGTCATCACTCGGTCCTGCCATCTCTAATTTCCGACATGTTCATTAATTGTGGCAATAAAAGTGGAATACAACTTGTGTCAAAGAAACAAAACGAAAGTGATTCAGCCCCTTCACAACGAAGGGGAAATGGAGGAATTCTAGAGGATTAGAATCTTATATGTAAATTTGCTATGAAGTCATTTATGGGTCATTATCAATCCTATGAAATTCATGTAATGGCTTATTTCATAGGAATTTTAGAGAAATCTACCAGATGTTGAACCTCATGGAAAGTTTTTTTTGTGTTTTTCCTATGCTCCATCCAAACATTTGATTTTATAGTTGCCTATAGTTTTCAATCCATAGGATTCAATATGTTAAGAGCAATGCATCGGCTGATTCATATAGGTACAAGGTGGAAAAACACATGCAAAATTAGATGGGCGTTAGCACTTATAGACCTGGATGCCCAAAAAATAAATAAATATTAGCTAATATGCATTATAGAAACATTATAGTCATCACAAACATCTCCTTTGGACTTCAGGAAAAACAAATAATCTGTGGCAAACTGGCAATAGTACAAGCTTCAGTTCCACCTTCAAATTGCATTGTCCTTAGGAAGGAATGTATATGAAATAGATCATATGGAAGGAACTTTCCATATGACTAACCATATCACTCAATCTTCAAAGCATAGAGCTTTTGAAAAGCATTACTTATTGCAAGGGAAATGGTATCTAGCTAGGATCATAGTTGATTTTGGTGATTGTTGTAAGGAAAATGGACCATTGGCCCATTTACTTTGGATTTTGGTGTTTGATGACCAACACAATCAAATTGGACTAATGAATTTATAAGTGTTTATTTTGTAGTTCAATAGGGTGCAAGACGTGACTTGGACGAAGGCGACGTGGTGATCCAATGATCAACATCTTAAGAAAGACCTTAGAAGCACAAGAGAAGACCTGAGATATCAAGCAAAGTCCAAGCACGAAGATTGAAACCAAGCCGTACGCAAGATCGCGAAGAAACGAGCTCACTGAGGTGATCGGACGCTGGACCGGACGCTGGACAAGCGACCGGACGCTGGGCAGAGGACTCGGCAGATAGGCGACCGGACACTGGACCGGACGCTGGCGGCAACCGACCGGACGCAGGACAGCAGCGTCTGATCGAGTATAGTAAGGTTCCAGAGCGGCAAATCTATGATCGGACGCGTCCGGTGGCAGGCGACCGGACGCTGGCTAGCATTCGATCAGTATATTGCCGGCTCAACAGTCGGGATGACCGGACGCGTCCGGTCAGGATGATTCAGCATTCGGTCAGTAGCAGTTTTGCGGGAATTCGACCCCAACGGCTACTTTCTCAGTGGGGCTTATAAATACAACCCTCAACTGGCCATTTGAGAAGTGTGGGGCTGAGGAAACATATCAAGGGTGTTGACACACTATTTTAGTGATCTCCACTTGCATAGTGCTTAGTGATTCATCAGGTGATTAGCGTAGGTGCTTTGCGAAGTGCTTAGGTTGATTAGACCACCGCTCATGCGCTTGCTCTAGGTTTTGGAGCACCACCGGTGATCGCCGAAGAAGAAGCACCAGAGAAAAGAGCTCCAGCAGTCACCAATGGCTAGCTAACACGGCAAGCACCAAAAATCTTAGATGGCCTTAACAGAGCTTTTCGGTGAACACTACCCAAGGGCAACTTGATGAGGACATGACACCTATCAATATGCCCATGAAAGTTAAAATCAAAGGTGAGCTCATTCATATGTTTGTACGATGACATAAGTAAGAATTTGTTGCTACCTAATGTTGGCACTTTCAATGTGTTTAGGGAACAATTTAAGAATGCTATGAACCTTGGAGAGACTTCTTACGTGGCCTCTATAATTCATGGGATGTGGATGCACCATGCTCAAGACCCATCTTGGGATACATAACCATCAAAGCACAATATTCGGTTCGTCGGTAGCCCGACAATACTTCATTAGGAAGACCATAACTCCTTTATCCGAAGTGCGATTAAGGTCAATGAGTACTTAATGAAAAACTTGTTTAATAAGCTTTCAAATGGATCTGACATCACCTCAACATCATGTCGAAAAGGCATCCAAACCATCAAGACATGTTGTCATTGTTTTTGTCGGGTACTACGACGTCGTCGTGGGCCTGTTACTCACCCTTGGGACAATGGTCCAAGTGGGAGCATGCACCATGTGGAGAACACCTAAATGTGTCCAGGATCTCCTCCTCCCTGGCCACCACCTTAGGAGGCCAGCATGAGCATCCAAGTCAAGTGGGAGGCCCAATTCATATCAAGTTTGAGTCCATCTCAGACTCCAAGAGGAGCCCGCACCAAAATGGATGCCTAGGTCACATAAGGACTCCATTTTCAATGTTCTACCAACAGAAAGATAATTTCATAAGCTAGCCAATGGCATTGATCCCATGTCAAAATTCCTTCGAAATTAAAGAAAATCATCAAAACAAGTGGACGTCAAAGAATCTATCAGGGTGTTGCGTCACCATTTTAGGTCATTGGGCCTTGTAACGTGTCGAGGCTCCTTGCCCGCCCCTTGAACTATATATTTAGTGGCCGCCATCTAAGTTAGGGTTTGAATTTTGCTTTAGATCAATCTGTCTTTGAACAATCATCGTCATTGGTTGTGAAACACCCCCGCTTTCAAGAGTTTAATCATTCATTTGTAATTGTTACTTCAATTGAGTTGCATTCTTTCGAGTTCTTGTTTCTATTCTTCGATTCGTAGGCAGGAATGATTAGCCTTCTCGATGAGGTCAACCGGATTGTGACACGGATGATAACCAGAGGAGACGTGGTGCTAAGGTTGCATAGTTCATATTTTTTGATCTAAAGCTGGATCGGTGTGTTGCATCCCTACCAAATCGATAGTTACCTCCACCTGATGGAAGATCGGGAACCTCGTCTTTATTAAGTGGTAATTAGATCTTCATGTGATACTGTCAGTTTCGCATTTTACTCTAGTTCAAGTGTTTTTGCCTTCATCCCATAGTCCATCACTATATTCATTTTCGTGTCCTAGAACCTTCCGCGTCATAGCCTTTGCATGATTCAATTTTAGAGTCTCTCATGTTGATTGAGTTTGTGCCCTAGGTCAAGGTCTTGTTGTCTGTTTAGATCATGTTTGAATCCCATTTGTAAGATCCCTCTGTTGTTTAGCGTTAAGATGCCTGAGAAATCACTTACTATAATTAGGACAAGAGGTACTACAATTGGCCATCATAAGGCGTAGTGCAATGATGGGCCCAAACTTGCTATAAAGTCATTTTTATCATAAATCACTGATTAGCATCACTAGGAGCACCCACTGATATCTGGAATACATTTGTTTTAATGGAACGAGGTCCTATCCTCTACCATTCGGAGATGACATATAGCCGAGAGACAAAGACAAACCAAAACCATGAGGCTCAAACTCTCACATCCAAGAGAGGGGAAAAAGCAACAAAGTTCAGCCTAACCCGGACGAATGACTAACGCTTGGAAAAGAACTAAGACTAAGCCTCAATTTGTTTCTGGAAGTTCCAACCAAAATTGGAATGCATATGGATGTAGATTACACGGTGCAATTAGATACATTACAATTGAAGTGTCTATCGACTATAAGGCTGCGTCTGGTACCGCACCTGATGCCGCCTCTCCGCCTCGCGAACCAAATGGCAAATGATGGAATAGCTCACCAGCTCCACCCGACAATCGCGCTGAGAGAGAGCTGAATAACGCTGGGGGAGCTGAAAATTGTAGCTCCATCCTCTGTGCGTGTGGGCCAGCCCCAAACTACCCCTTGTGGCGACATGGGCGTGGGTGCCGCTCGTTGATAAAACTCGATGTTGCCTGCGTCGGTGTCGATGGTGCCAAGACAGAGGAGGGAGAGGCGTAGTCCACCGAAGTAGATGAGGGAGAGGACGGCGTGTAGGACTGGGGTTGGGCTCCTGGCGAGGTGGAGGAGGGAGAGGGCGAGGAGGCACGCGGGACTGGGAGGGGCAGCACGTTGTGACGGCGAGAAACCATAGCTGAAGCTGTTGTGACTAGAACTAGAGCTCTACCAAACATACCCTAATATAGGAGGTGAGTTATCAAATTTGCTTTTAATATAGGATGGTCCGATCTTTCTCGATGGACAAACAACGTAGAAGGGAGATAAGTAGCATGGCCTAGCTAACTGAGAAACCCTTGCAAATAATGTTGATGAATTCAACTGTGATAGTACTGTTCATAACTCCCAAATATCAGGTGAATGTACCAGGTCACTTCTGAATTTAGAAGACCCTTTCATTCATAATCACCGTCAATGTTACAGGTAAAAAGGTTTTTCTTTGAATTTAGTCTTCGACACAGTTAAATTTGAAACAATCTTAATTTGTCAAATTTGATCGATCACAAATGGCAGTATCCTGGTGGTTGCGATATACCATGCCACTACTCGACACTACATGTGCCATTCCAGAAGCAATTCAAACAATACATGGTAAAAA